AGATTAACAAGAACAATTTTTCTCTCTCCTCCTTGTTAACAACCTTTTATGTACTTGAAAACTGGTATCATGTCCCGCCTTAGTCTTTTCTTCTCCAGACTAAACAAACCCCATTTTTTTCAATCTTTCTTCATAGGCCATGTTTTCTAGACCTTTAACCATTTTTTGTTGTTCTCCTCTGGACTTTCTCCAATTTATCCACATCTTTCCTAAAATGTGGTGCCCAGAACTGGACACAATATTTCAGTTGATGCCTTATCAACACAGGATAGAGCAGAAGAATTACTTCTTGTGTCTTGCTTGTGACACTCCTGCTAATATATGCCAGAATGCTGTTTGCTTTTATTACAACAGTAATACACTACATATTTAGCTTGTGATCCACTATGATCCCCAGCTCCCTTTCTGCAGTACTCCTTCCTAGGCAGTAATTTTTCATTTTGTATGTGTGCAATTGATCCTTCCTAAGTGGAGTACTTTGCATTTGTCCTTATTGAATTTCATGAGTGTCTAAACCAGTCACTTCTGTATGGGTAGTTAGCAGAACTGCAGTTTGGCTCTAAAATATGGTATGAGCTAGACATCATTACAACAACATCATTCCACCTTTGTAGCTATGCTTTAATGGGATGTTGTGCATCAATTACTATTTGAAACTGAGTCTGGTGGAAGAACAAATATACTTAGAAATGTCCTTTTAACAAGCAATACTCCTGGGGGAATTCTGCACCACTGCACAATGCAGAATTTTGCAGAAATTAATGTTGTGTAGGCAGAATTTCCTTTCCCCCACAGAAACTGGCTGCAGTGCTGCTGGCCACCACTAGGGGCCACTGGACGCAGCAGAGCCCAGTTCGCACATAGAAGACACTGCCAAAGGAAGGGAGCTAGAGGGTTCCCAGCAGCTGCAGTTCCCAGCACGCCTTGAGGGAAGGAGACAGCCTGCAGGAAACTCCATGCAAGCCTCCATCAGGCTCTTTCTCCTTCTGGATCCCTGGGCTCTGAGGGGTAGGGGGCAAGTGTCTGGGCATGGCTGGGCTTTGGTGGGTAGAGGGTGTGAGTATCTGGGCAAGGAGGGGCATGGTTGGGCTCGGGGGGGCCTGCAGCTTGGCTGTGGGGGGAAGGGAGTGTGGGTGTCTGGGCTACGGGGGGTCCTGTGACTGGGCTCTGGGGGGAGGGAGGGGTTGTGGGTGTCTGGCTCCCTGCTGGGCTCGGGGGGGGGGGGCAAAGGGGGTAGAGAAACAGGAACTGGGTTGTCATAGGGCTTTCTTTAACTCTCTACTCCTGGGGGAATTTTTGTGTGTATGTATTGTTACAGAGATACTTGCTGATTTTGAAATAAATTACCAAATTAATTGAAACGGGCGTGATTATGCAATGTTATTTTGACAAAATTTGCAGAATTTTAAAATATTGTGTGCAGAATTTTTAATTCTTGGTGCAGAATTCCCACAGGAGTAAAGCAAGAGATTTTATAAACCGAGTAAGTTTTGAAGTCCACAAAATTAGGATCCAGACAGAATTTCTTTTAAAGCAACCCTCCCAGCCTCAACCATTTTGAAACGGCCAAGAGAATGTCAGCAGCTTATTTTACACCCAAAGGGGTTTCATATTGTACTCTGATGCTTATAGACTTTATTTCATGTTCAGTAGGGCCACCCAACTGATGATACTGAAAAAAAAAAATCAACTTCTGACAGTTGATAAAACTTAATCACAAATGGAAATATTCAATTTGCCAAATCAAAGATTGATTGATATGAAAACGGTATTACAGTTATTCTTCTAGGAATAAATTTGTTAAAGATCATTATGATTTTTAAAAGAGTAACAATTCAATGTTTTTTTTAAATACTCCATTCAGACATCCACACCCTTTCCAGCTTTCAATTTCAAATAGCTGAACTTCCCTGTATCTTAATAATTTTGGTTTTAATTATGTTTCAGAACTGTTACTTGACTTTAATTATATTGTAGTTTGTAAAAATTAATGATTTCCTCTTCCCTCCTCCCCCACATTTCCCTAATCTGAGTCAATGCCTGTCTGCTGTGTGTAAATAAGGAACAGCTTTGGAAAATCGGGTCTTAAAATCCTCCTTTTTATATACCTCATGGTAAAAGTTGTTTAGATTATGGGAAGCAATGTTTTTTCATTAACTTGTAATGTTTTATCAATTGAAACTTTTGAAAGTACTTGGGAATTTATTTCACTGTTTCCTTATACTTCTTTTAAACAATTTTGTCATCTAACAAATATTTGCTTACAATGCATGTTTTCCTTCTTACAAGGTAATGTTTTCTAATCTTAGTAAAACTTGCCAGAGGGTCTAATATGACAAACAGTGGGAACAGTACAAGGCCAAAGCCACCAAAATGTAACTTTTGATAGATGATAGTTTGCCAGAAGCTGGGAATGGGTGACAGGGGATGGATAACTTGATGATTACCAGTTCTGTTCATTCCTTCTGAAACACCTGGCATTGGCCACTGTCAGAAGACAGGATACTGAGCTTGATGGACCTCTGGCCTGACCCAGTATGGCCGTTCTTATGTTCTTAATACATGCTGTTTTTGTTTTTTTACTACTAAGTTAAAATTGATTATAGTTCAGCAAACTTTCATTTATATTGTAGTCTTTTTTTGTTGGAAAAGAACTTTTGGTGAATTAAAAAAAACCTCATACTTAAAAAAAATTCCAATACTTTCATTGTACCATAACTTTAATTATAAGTAAGATTTCTTTTGAACAATACTTGACCTATCCTGCACTCAGACTGAAGTAATGGGACTCCATTTGGGTGTAACGGTTCCACGCATCCAGATTTGACGGCAGGATTGGGCCTTAGGAAAGCCTCCTACTGTTGCAGCATAGCTAAATATGGAAGATGAGACTGAACTGGGCCTACACAAAGCAAATGTTTCACAAGTAAAGTGGAAAGTCACAGGCTACAGGTGGTAGACATGGCACGACACAGTCACAGATTCTACAGCAAAATCACAGCATGGGAAGTACTTTGTTCTGTTTTTATCTTTAGCAAATTCCACCTAATTTGTGTTTTCACCAACCATGCATCAGTTTTGTTTTTTTAAATATACACCAGCAGGTCCATCCCAACAACTTTGATAGCAACCCTGTATTTTAAATCAGGGAGCAAAACAGTAAATATCTGACAATGGGGAATGCTTTCATTCATGCTTAATTTTACATCCATGAGTAGTCCCATTAAAGGTAAGCGTGTATGTAATTATTTTCTGGACCTGAGCCTAATTTATTTCAGTATTTTACTGATAGTAACTGTGTTCTCTCCCTAAATGCCCAGCGCTATATAGAAAGGATAAAAGTTTTGAAAATTCATTTTAAGTTTCAGCTGTCCAAAAGTTTGATATGCCTTATAATAAGAACAAAATTCAATATTTAAAAAAAAAAAACACCTTGAGAGGTGTGATTCAAGTCCCTTTGGAGATATTTTTATTAAAACCATGACAGAAAGAGAAGTCACTGAGTACAGATCAGTGGGGCCCTGACTATCTTGTTCCAATTACAGCTCTCCTCACCTAATGCCACTCAACACAGGCTGCTCCCAGCTTCAGAGCCATCCAGCCTCTTCGCTACCCCTCCTCTCCCCAGCCATCTGCCCTCTCCAGCCCCACATCTCCCAGCCGCCCCTCTTCTCCATCCACACCCATCTGCCAACCCCACTGCAACTTCCCAGCCATCTGCCCTCTAGCTCCGCTACTGCCCCTCCTCTCCCCAGCCATCTGCCCTCTCCAGCCCCACATCTCCCAGCCGCCCCTCCTCTCCATCCACACCCGTCTGCCAGCCCCATTGCAACTTCCCAGCCATCTGCCCTCTCCAGCTCGGTTACCGCCCCTCCTCTCCCCAGCCATCTGCCCCCTCCATCCCCACCTCTCCCAGCCACCTCTCCTCTCCATCCACACCCATCTGCCAGCCTCATTGCAACTTCCCAGCCATCTGCCCTCTCCAGCTCCGCTACTGCCCCTCCTCTCCCCAGCCATCTGCCCCCTCCATCCCCACGTCCCCTCCTCTCTCCAGCTGCCCTCTGCCTCACCTCCAAAACTACCCACTCTCCCCAACGGCTCCCCCGAGTCCCCAGCTGCCCGCTCCAGCAGCCGGTGCCTGGGGCTCTTGGGAGCGGCAGCCCCAGGGCCCGCGGGGGGACGCCGCGCCCTGCCCCGAGAGGCCGCCTGGGCTGTGGCGCAGGAGGGCTCGGCGTGGGAGCAGCGCCTGCGCGCCTGTCCCGCCTGCTCTCGCTCTGGCCCAGCGCTGGGACCGGCCGCGGCAGCCCGGCGGGAAGGAGGGCGGGCTTGAAGGGGCGGGAGGCGCACGCTGTTTCCCTTTCTCTTTCGCTGGGCAGCGCGGCTGGGGCTGCTGCCGGCCAGAGGCCGACGGGCGCCGCAGGTACTGCTCGGGGGGGCTGGGGCGGACACGGGGCAGGAGGCGCCGCAGGTGCATGGGGGGAGGGACAGGAGTTTTCCAAGAGGGAGGGAGCGCCACACTACAGCCCTGAGTCTGGGCCGTGGTGTCCCGGCCTGCCCAGCGCTCGGGGAGACTCCCCCCCTTCCCCTCAGGCCGGGGGACGGGACCCGCGCGGGGAGAGCCGCCCTTCGCCGGGACCCACTGTGAGGCCTGTTTACGGGCTGTGCCTCTACGGAAGGAGGAGTTCGCCCTGTGTGTGGTTCAGTGGGACGTTCCCAGGCTCCTCCAGGGCTTACTGAAAATCTCCCAGGGTCCCGGCAGCTTAAGCGCAGCCCCTGCACCTGTCCCCCACCCACCTTCTCCCCCAGCCCTGAGTGTCACCTTGCCCTGGTCACTTTGCTAGCCTCAGGTAAGCTCATGGGGGGCGGAGGCACTGGCTTAATTCTTGTCAGCAAAAAGCACCTAGCACAGAGTCAGTGCTGTGGATTGCCCCATGCGAAGGACTGTGACACTTGTCTGTTGGGACATCATCATTATGCTTCTCCTTTCACATGCCTTGCAGGTATGAAAACGCCTAGTCCAGAAAAGGAGCAGGAGTTATGAATGATGTCCCTGTGAGAGGTCTGGAATGTCCATCAAATGCCTGGAGAGGTGCAGTTGCACAGAGCAGCTCCTGTGAACCACATCACCTCCAGCTGTCAAACTCACGCCTCTGGCCTAAAGCGTTCAGCCAGCATCGCCTGCCCCACGAATGGCTACCCAGAGGAAGCACTTGGTGAAAGATTTCAATCCTCATATCACCTGTTACATCTGTAAAGGATATCTTATCAAGCCAACCACAGTAACTGAATGTCTCCATACCTGTAAGTAGTACTTTGCAAGGTATCCATCCTTCACAAGTAATGTATCCTCCAGATATCACCACTCATTTTTTAAAAATTGTATAGCCTGAAAGATTATAAAGTGTTTCAGGATGTTCAGCTTGGATATATACTGTTATCACTGAAAAATCTCACTGTGGAGTACTTTGGGCCTTAGAGTTAATTGGGGAAGAGAGAAGTCAAATATTTCAGTGGGATTTATTATGGTTCTGGTAGTATACTCTATTTAAAATTACAGTATACTGTATCCAGTGTACATTTCTAGTAACATAAGAACATGAACTATGGGGAGGGAAGGCTCTGAACTAAGCCAAGCTCTGCCAGTTGGTGAGAAATTTTCTGTCTGCACTGAAAATGAATGGCCAAGGCATCTGCACAAGACCCCCCACCTTTGAGTTTCTGCACATGGAACTGACTACAGCTTTACAATGTATAGCCACCAATGTGGGAACCATTCCCTTTGTGGCAAGTTGAGTTGCTACTGGTGACTATCCAAGAACAGAGACTACTTCTCCCTGAGAATTCTTTGGTTTGCAGAAGAGCACTCTGGGAGATATAGCATAGGAGGAATCTGTTGCAGTGAAGCATGTCCTGCTGATCTGTATGCCAAAAATACCTACATTCTAGTGAGGATGGAAGGCTTCCAAAACTTCTGGGGCTGTGGAGTGTTTTCACTTCCCAGTTCTTTAACCCCAATCAGCCGTCAGAGTTCTTCAAGCCTAAATCATACAATTCTAGTAATTTAGGCTTGATGGATCACACAGGGTGCTTCCTGAATAATACATGCTATTTGTGCAGCACAGAAGGGCTACTAATGGTGTTAGTGCTGTGGCTTCTCAGGGACTTGACTTATCATTTAGCTAGTAAAGCCACACCCAGATGATGAAGATGTTGATGAATGGCATCTCCTCAGCCTGGATTCTCTCTTCGTTTCTCTCCCTTTAGACCAGATGTATATTATTAGCTTTTCTTGGTAGAGAAGTTGTAGATGCGGCTGCTCTGCCACTTGTAATATTTAGGTATCTGGACAATGGTCTTAGTGCAGTGTCTGTCATAAGTAACAGCTAGGAATTTTAAACCATCCTGTGCCTTCTGAATGATAGAGACAGGGAGAACTCTCTGGGGTATCTTACACACAGAGTATAGTCCTTGCAGATCAGACTCAAAGAGCAGCATCCTCATCAAGTGAGCGTGTAATGTCTACTCAGTGAAGTTCAGGAAGGAGGGAGTACTAGCTTTACCATGATTTAAGGATGCCATTCTACACAGAAAAATTACCTGGGCCAGAATTTTCATAACTGTTTGTTGTGTATTAAATATTAATAATAATAAATATATATATATCAATCTGAGTGTCTTTGACATAAATTACAAAAACAAATCTCCCTGCTGAAACTACCAGCTCATCCTACAGCATCTCCTAACAGTACTGTACTCACATCAGAAGGCCTACAGAATTTCCCAACCCTCAACAAACAAACCTCAGTCCCTTTGGTGCCCTTCCCTCCTCTGAAGCCTAAGTAATTGTGTATGACTTGCAGTGTCTCCTGAAGGTCAGTAAACTGATCCAGTTTTGGAACAAGGTGAGTCCCTCAAAGAGGATACCCTACCACCAAGACCCCTCCATTTGTAAATAGAGGGAACTCCAATTTGAGTCTCTGCTCCTTGTAATTGTGACAGTAAGGTGGTCTCTTGAGCGTGTACTTAAATAGGCAGATAGGCACTTAATGGAGCGTGTAAGTGGAAGATAAGTGCCTAAGCAATTTTCAGAAGGGTGATAAAGTGCGTGCAAGTCTGCAGTAGATTTGGGGAATAGTTGATCCTTTAATGGAATTCTACATTGTAAGTGAGTGGCTGATTAACGGTCAACTTTATTTGTGCCCTTGAACAAGTGAAGTGTTTTTAAATTATAATTTTAAGCTTGCTAACAAGGACATTGTTCTAAAAATTAGGTTATTTTTAAAGTTACTATATAAAGAGGTAAAAGTTTAGTTTAATAAAGTAGCTGATCTACAGAGAAGCTTTTCTGTGTATCGCCTATCTTGTTACTTAGCTGTGGGTAAGGGAGAGATGAGTCAGAGCTGGAGAACCATATGCTATGCAGATCCTCTGGTCCTTCCATATGCCCCTTCTTGCTCCAAAGGCGTGGAGGCTGGAGTAGCCTCTGAGAACTGACTCCAGTTTGTCTTTGAGTTTTAGGCCTGCACTCCCTTGATTTGGGCTGGATTCTGAGGGAGGTTTTGCCCTATAATGAGCACTTCTATTGAAAATTTCATCTTATATAAATAGAACAGTTATTCAGTGTAAAATGCAAAATATAATGTAAAATATAAGCAAATCTCTTGTTCCAATATGAGACTTCTGCTTAGTTGCAATCAGTGCTTAGATACCTTTGTGATTATCATTGAAAATCTTAGAGAGGCTCTTTCCCTTGAGCTATTTTTGACATAAAGAAACTAGAATGGTATGTAAATACAATTGTTTGCAGTCTTGTTGTAGCTGTGTTGATCCTAGGATATTCGAAACACAAGGGGGTGAGGTAATATCTTTTATTGGACCAATTTCTGTTGTGGAAAGAGAGAAACTTTCAAGCTTACGCAGAGCTGAAGAAGAGCTCTATGTAAGTTCAGAAGCTTGTCGCTTTTTCAAACAGAAGTTGATCCAATAAAAGATATTACCTCACCCACCTTGTCTTTGTAAATAAAGTATCAATCACGTTGTGTTCCTTCAGTGTTAATGTGGGTGCAGCAGCACTGACACGTATACATAACTGTTTGGCTCAGTACCAGGGTTTGAAAGTGGATCATCCGTATTAACAATTACCCTATATAAAGGGAAACTAGCGCACTGTATGGCATGATTTGTATGTTAGTGAATTAAAGGTATGTCACATTGGTGCTTTTAAGCTGTGGTAAGTCACCTAGAGTGAGTCGTGAAACTTGTATAATGGTTTGCCCTAAGTGTCATGGTGCAGCCAAAAATCAAGTATATCTGACGCTTCTCTCGCTTCACTGACATGCATGGCACATATCTCAAAATTCTGAAACCCATCTCACATTTTGTTTATTTTTTTCTCCATTGTATTGGCTGTCGCTTTGTGTTGTACTATAAAACAAGACAGTTAAAATTGTACCATATTTGTGTATCTCATACTGTAAGTGTAAAGGTTTTTAAAAGGTGTTAAATAAATATAGTTGTCACTTAAATTCCTGCTCCGAGATTTTTTCCCCCTACTCTAGAAATTTCAAGTGATAGACCCAGGACAATATGCGGAGTTTTCCATATTAGGAATAATAGAATAAGAACATGCCTGTGACAGATGAAAATATTGGTTGATGGGCCTACTCCTATAGAGGTATCAAAGTCTGTACAAAGTTTTTGAGTGCTAGAATTCGCATTTTGAGTTCTAATTTACTGACAGATATGTAAAAGTCATATATAGCTACTGGTAAACAACTCCCTAATGACAGCACAGTTGTACATAATAAAGAGCACAAGTTATTCAATATTCATTTACAAATCAGTTTTTCCTTTTTCTGATGATGACCAAGTGTTTTGGGCTGGTAACATTCAATTTTGGTCAAACTACTATGCCCTTTTTTTCTTTAACCTGGGGTAATGGAGGGGGAGTTCTTATCTTGACATCTGTCCTTTTTGGAGGATGAGAAGATTTTTGCTTATTCTGAGTTGCATGCAGAGGTAATTATCAGTCACTTTTATAAAACTAAATTACGAAGAGCTTAATTGCAGATCTGTAAGAAGTCATTGCGACTACTTATCTGCTTAAAGTAAAACATGTCTTTAAGTGCTTTGCTGGATCAGGGCCTTAATGTTGTTAGGTAGATTTTATAGCTCTTTTATATTTGAAGTTTAGAGTATTGACAACTTATTGCATACTGTTTTCTAAGGTAATAGTTTGTAAATATATTCATATGACACTAAAAACGATAGTACTGAAGTATTCATGTTTAAGAGGTTTAGGTATAAAAAAAGTTCATATAAGAGCAAACAAGACTAGAATATCAAGTTTGTTCTTCTGTTCTTAAGCCCTTTGAAGAATTTTTGCTCTGTAAGATCGTTTTGTTTTGTGCATGTATTTCATACAAATGAAAATCAAGTTCAGTATTTAGACAGTCAGAAATATTGAAGTATTTTATTGTTGATTGCTGTAATGAGATCTGTGTAGCGAGTCTCTGTGGTTACTGTTTGCTGCTATTCCATATTAATACTTAATACCGTGCAACCCCAGATAATGAAAGTTCATTTATGTCCTGAGGGTTGTACTGTGCCTCCTTGATAGCATCTGCTTTCTCCTCTGCACCCTGTGTGTCACAAGCCTGAAGTGCATCAGGTGTGCCCCTGTTGCTGGACTTGCCAGCAAGAGATCCTCCTCACTTCGTTAGGATGATGGGGGACCTGCAGTGCAGCCTGGCTTCTAGATCCATCCATCCTTGGGAAGCCAGTCATCACTCTTTATAATTAGGAGGGCCAGCCAGTGGGCCTTAAAGTCTGTGCCCCAGACTCAGGGAGACGTGAATGCAGACTTTAGAACTTCTTGTGCTGGCTTTCAAGATTATTAAAATGCTTGTTTTGTGAAGATTTCAGGAGTCCCTCAAAGATCCCTGTATTATTAGGGTTCACTGTTTTTGTTTCAGAAGTGGTTTTAGTTCTTTGGAGAATTGTTGGAAGAAATTACAAAATAGTTTTTCAGTCCATTTATTAAAGTATTTGCAGTTCACCTTTCAATTCAGGTGAAAAATAATAAATAGAAGAGAGTTAATCTGCATCCAGAACATTTAAACAAATTAATAATATCAGACCTATTACTTCTTGCCAAATTATGTTCCATGTTTTGTCTTAATGATGCTAAAATCTGCACTTAGTCATATTTGGAAGCAACCACAGTGCCATACTTTCTGATTAAAAACTATAGTAGTGTTTGGGTTAATATAAATTTGTAGGCTCTTATTTTGATGTTATTTATTCCTAATGCAATATCCATGCTCCTCTAATTATTCTGATTTTAAGATTCAAGTACTGAATGTTCACCAGTACTTCTACCATCACTGTTGTTAAAGGTTATATATCTGGTGAGGAAAATAGCTCATTTCAACCAGCAGAACAATTTTTTATAATTTTCTTTTTACCCTTTTAGAAAATAGTAGATGTCAAGTTTTTCAGTCACCAACATTGCAAGGAATTCTGTATCGTAACTGATTACAAACTTACCTTCATTTCAGATCCTCCAAAGTCATGGCTAGCTCCTGCTCTGCTGAGACTCCCCAGCATGCAGTTTCTCTGAATTGCTGTGCAATGTTGTGAGGAATATAAAACAATAAAAAAAAATTGCATACTTATGAACAATACTCTCATAACCTGTATTCGCTCAATGTTATAATATCTCAGCAGGCCACAGCTAGTCTTAATTTTTGGGAACAAGAAACAGATAAGTTAATGGTGCATTGTAATCACTTGTGTTAAAGAATACCCCTCTTATCCCTGCTACCAGAAGCATTCAGCATTAGTCTGTTTTTTTTAATTGCAAGCCAAATGTGAGCAGTAATATTTTCTTGATCTAAAAGTTGCACTGTAATAATGTATAATTTTATCTAATGCACAATTTTTTCTTTTACAGTTTGTAAGACATGTATTGTTCAGCACTTCGAAGACAGCAATGATTGCCCCAGGTGTGGCAATCAGGTGCATGAGACCAATCCATTAGAAATGTTAAGGTAAGACAACATTAAACAACATTTGATTAAATATAACGGTCTTTTTAATACCATAATTTTCTTCTTTTTTATTTTTAATTTATTCAAATGCTGCCTCCTATGTGTATGCTCTAGGCACCCTTTATATTACTTGAATATAAAACTAAATGAATACCCAGCATAATCCACCAGCAGCAAACTGGTCAACTAAAAAGTTTCAATTTCCCCTCCTTTAAATTATTCCCGGTCTTCAAATACATAGAAAGAAAGGTGACCGTTGTAGTTTGATTAACCTCCATTTAGAATAAATTCACTTAAAAGGAGAAAGCACTTTAAAAATACCTCTGACATCTACATTAAATATTATACGCTTATTTTGCAACTGGGAAAGGAGCAGTGGCACAAACTCTATATATTCCCTAGAAAGCTCTTCCAAAACTGCCAGTTCCCCTTCTAGGCCTCTTCTTTTAATATGATTTTTTTAAATTTGCTGTTACTATATTTTAGTGGTCTGTCGTTTTGCCCATTGCTCTGTAGCCTAATGTTTATATTTAAATTTACTGTTGTTTCTAGTATGGCCTTTCACTATATTGTTCATTCATAATTCAAACATTCCAGAATGCACTTGTACAGTTGCTGGGTACCATTTCAAACCCGATCTCTAATAAGTCCCTTTTCCAGAATTGCCTCACCAAGAATTGCATACAGTAAGCTTACATATGTAGATGATTGCTTGATCTAGGCCTGTAAATTGATTGGCATTAAAATTTATATACCCGTACGCCCGTCTGGATGCAAGCATCCTTAAAGTCTAGCATTAAATATCCATAATATACTTTGATTTATTCAAGACATTAGGCAGAAGCTAGACAGAAATCCCCTCTTTAGCAGACAAGAGAACAGTAGACATGGTGTTTTCCATCCCTAAAGGAACCCAGTTTGATGCTATATGAAATAGAAACAACAGAATTAGCGAATTACTATGTCAGATTCCCAATGGCATGTTTCTTGATTTCTCTCTGTCATATTTATAAGTTGCCTATCGCCTTGATATCAACATAAGATTTCCTCAGAAGAATTCAAAGTTTCAAGAAAAACAGTTGTTTAACAGAGTTTTGAATTGTCATGATGTGAAAATATATTTCATGCAGTTAAAGGCATAAACCTCCAATACCTAAATTCTCTGTCCTATCTGCCTTGTTGAGCAGCTTTTCCTTGATCCAGTTTAGACTAACAAGGCTACCTCTAGAAAATGTTCACCCTTAAGTACATAACTAATTTCCCACAGTGCAAAGTACTTACTCTAGAGAGAAACAAATGTATATGAAATATGGAATCCCATAGGCTGAAAGGCCAAAACAGTTCACCGCTATAATCCTCATGGAGAGAATGGGATATCTATTACTTTTTTAAAACACATTTTATTTTTGCACCAGCCCTAGCGCTGTCCCCCATTTCCTGCGTCTTTCCTTCCTTTTCTGTCTCTGTTAGTGTCACCAATATACTGGCAACTGCAGAAATTAACAGGAGCTACATACACTCCAGAACAGTTTTTCCAATGTCCCTCTGTGTCAGCCCAGGTACATAATGGAGTATAAGTTCTCCTACCAGCCGATGGAGTTGGAGAAAAGCAAAATTCTGGTGACAACACTCCTGCTATAGAGGGCTCTGGCTGTGTCTGTTTGTCTGCAGCCCATGATGATAGTTCTTTCCTTCTTAGCCTAGCCATCTTTTTCTGTATGTGTATACTTTTCTTTTCTCTCTCTTACCTCTCTGTCAGGATTAATCATAGAATCATAGAATCATAGAATATAAGGGTTGGAAGGGACCCCAGAAGGTCATCTAGTCCAACCCCCTGCTTGAAGCAGGACCAATTCCCAGTTAAATCATCCCAGCCAGGGCTTTGTCAAGCCTGACCTTAAAAACCTCTAAGGAAGGAGATTCTACCACCTCCCTAGGTAACGCATTCCAGTGTTTCACCACCCTCTTAGTGAAAAAGTTTTTCCTAATATCCAATCTAAACCTCCCCCACTGCAGCTTGAGACCATTACTCCTCGTTCTGTCATCTGATACCATTGAGAACAGTCTAGAGCCATCCTCTTTGGAACCCCCTTTCAGGTAGTTGAAAGCAGCTATCAAATCCCCCCTCATTCTTCTCTTCTGCAGGCTAAACAATCCCAGCTCCCTCAGCCTCTCCTCATAACTCATGTGTTCCAGACCCCTAATCATTTTTGTTGCCCTTCGCTGGACTCTCTCCAATTTATCCACATCCTTCTTGAAGTGTGGGGCCCAAAACTGGACACAGTACTCCAGATGAGGCCTCACTAATGTCGAATAGAGGGGAACGATCACGTCCCTCGATCTGCTCGCTATGCCCCTACTTATACATCCCAAAATGCCATTGGCCTTCTTGGCAACAAGGGCACACTGCTGACTCATATCCAGCTTCTCGTCCACTGTCACCCCTAGGTCCTTTTCCGCAGAACTGCTGCCTAGCCATTCGGTCCCTAGTCTGTAGCTGTGCATTGGGTTCTTCCGTCCTAAGTGCAGGACCCTGCACTTATCCTTATTGAACCTCATCAGATTTCTTTTGGCCCAATCCTCCAATTTGTCTAGGTCCTTCTGTATCCTATCCCTCCCCTCCAGTGTATCTACCACTCCTCCCAGTTTAGTATCAAATTAGATTGTTTAGTGAAGGGCGCTTTGAAATGACACTAGAAGAAATTGTTCCATTCTTCTCAGCACTGATAAGGCCTCAACTGGAGTACTGTGTCCAGTTCAGGGCACCACACTTTGAGAAAGATGTGGACAAATTGGAGAAAGTCTAGAGAAGAGCAACAAAAATGATCAAAAGTCTAGAAACCATGGAAAGATTGAAAACAATGGATTTGTTTCTTCTAGAGAAGAGAAGATTGAGGTGAGGGGGGGTTTCATGGTAACTATGGTCAAGTACATAAAAAGTTGTTGTACAGAGGGTGATATCCTTATCCCCTGAGGGTTGGACAATAAGAAATGAACTTAAATTGTAACAAGGGAGATTTAGTTTAGACATTAGGAAAAATGTCCTAATGGCAAGGGTAGTTAAGCACTGGAACAAATTGCCTGGAGAGTTTGTGGACTCTCCGTCATTAGAGGTTTTTAAGAACAGATTAGACAAACTCCTGTCAGGGATGGTCTAGATAATACTTAGACCTGTCTCAGTGCAGGGAACTGCGCTTGATGACATATCCAGGTCCAGTCTACGTAATTCTATGAGTTCTGAAGGGAACTTTTAAGGTGAAAATTAGTACCCATTTGCTCAGTCATTAAAATATGTTCATCATGGAAGGAGCCTTGGCCTTGCCAGAAAGGGAGTAAGAACTGCCTACACAATGTTTATTGCCTGGTGGTTCTCCTGAGGATGGCTGTTCCAACACTTTTTGTCCATGTTCCGCAGAGATAGTTAGAGCTCCAGCCTTGGATGACTCTGTAGATTTGGGTGACCAACTCTTCTCCCTGATGATTACTTAGTAGGCCAAATGATAATTGGGAGAAGTGCAGTTTCTCCCATATATTGTCCTTATATGAAATATATCAGCCTTCATGGCCATGGCCTCTGTCCTAGTCTCATGACAGCTCACAGTTTCAGCCTTTGACCCAAAGGAGAAAGAAACCTCAGTTTCAGAGTTTTTCTCAGCAGCGGATTAGCATCCCTTTGTGGATACCATTATTATGGAAAAAGCTATGAAAACTAATAATCCTGAAGGGAAAAAATTCCTATGGGGGTGAGTTGGACATCTTCAATGTCAAAATGTTTTAAAAAGAAAATATATTTATGCCAATTGAACAGGTGAGCTGCATTATTAATCTACAAGAGAACTCCTTGAAGTCGAAGAAGAGAGCTTCAGTTATTGCTAGCCAATGGAATATGTTTATCCACAACATTTTTGACAGAGGATGAACTATAATGGAAAACCCCCCACTATTCCATATGCTCTTAGACAACTTTTAAGTGGCTCCAAGAATGTATCTAATTTCAGTTCTTGTAGCATCTAAAGGTATGTGTACATTGCATCTGCGAGCAAGCCTCTCAGCATGGGTAAATAGACTTAGATTTGCGGGGCTCGAGCTTGCATGCTAACAATAGCATTGTGGACATTGTGGCTCGGGCAGTAGCTTGAAGACCACCCAACCCCTTGGGTCTAAGCTTAGGTGGCTAGCCCAAGTCTCTGCCAGCACTGCAATGTCCACATTGCTATTTTTATTGTGTTAGCTCAAGCCCAGGTAGCACAAGTCTGTCTGCCTGGGCTGGGAAGTTCACTCCCAGCTGCAGTATAGACGCACTCTAAAGTAGAATCCAACATCTAGAAGTGCATAGAAATACCACTTTCCTAGTTGACTGGAAGGGAGGGTCCAAAGGTTTCAGTGGGCTGGAAATCAGAGAGAGAGCACCTGAGAGAGTTCATGATTTTTGCAGTTTCTGTGCAGCTTGTGATCTGTTTGGCCTACAAAATCCTGCCATTAGTAATGTGGTATAGATCTGGTAAAGTGATATAGCAGAAAGAAAACACCAGTACAGTAGAGTCTGCAAGGGTTTTTCCTCCAGGGGTGATAGATATAGATATAAATATATTATAGATATTGACATTAGGGCTGTCAAGTGGTTAATTAATCACGATTAATCACGCTTTTAAACAATAATAGAATACCATTTATTTAAATATTTTTGGATGTTTTTTATACATTTTCAAATATATCTATTTCAGTTACAACACAGAATACAAAGTGAACAGTGCTCACTTTATATTTATTTTTTATTACAAATATTTGCACTGTAAAAAACAAGAGAAACAGTATTTTTCAATTCACCTAATACAAGTACTGTAGTGCAATCTCTTTATTATGAAAGTTGAACTTACAAATGTAGAATTATGTACAAAAAAATAACTGCATTCAAAAATAAAACAATGTAAAACTTTAGAGCCTACAAGTCCACTCGGTCCTACTTCAGCCAATCTCTCAGACAAACAAGTTTGTTTACA